TACGATCCGCTGCCGGTCTTTCTTGTGGAGTAGAACCTCTCAAGATTGCATCCAACTTCGCCTGTATTGCACACGAACTCTCGGCTTGACTCTTGCTCATTGTGTCCAATCTCCTTTCCAGGCTCCCTAATTGGCTGTTGACATCATCATATCGGTTCTTCAACTGTTGCATGTCTGTTTTGATGTTCTTTTCTCGTTCTTCATTGGTGGCTTCTACCTTATCTGACATTTCCTTGAGTCTCTCATCTGTTGCCTTAGCTAGGTTAAAATAACTGTCTAGATACTCGTGCTTGTTGTATCTTATCTCCTTTTTTATCACCTCTCTGTCTTCTTCACTGTTCTTAAGTCTTTTGTCGATCTGATTTAATTTCGCCAACAAGTCGCCCAGCTCAATGGTAGTCTCTTCATGGTCAGCCGTGAGTTTCTCTTCGGCCGTAGCCTCTGCTTTAGCTTGTTCCTCATTCTGGCCGGTTTCTGTCGTTTTCGTGCTTACTGTACCAAATGTTCGTGCTCTTTCTGCTTTTGGTTCTTCAGTCACGTTTTCTTTCGTTTTTATTCCGAACATTATTCCCAATTTTTCCGTAAAAGATGTCCTCTTTACTTGAGAGTCTTCTTTCACCGTTTCTTCGGTGTTGCCTATTGCATCTTCCGCGTCATCTATCGGTGAGAACTCTATGGGTTTCTGGTTCGGTTCCTCTGCATTGGGCATTGGAGTTGACTCTGTCGCCATCTTCCTTGTTTCATCCACACTTTGATCGGGTGTCTCTAGATCAATCTCGATGGTGGGTTCTACTCGCTCCCCTTCCGTGCCCTCTTTCGCCCTGTTGTCCGCTGTACTCCTTGTGCTGACCATGTTAACTGAAAAGTTCGTCTTCGTTATCTTTGGGCCCGTTGATGTCGTTCCGCGCAGCGATGAATTATATTTCGTGTTTGATCCACTTGACCTTTTTTCGAGCACCGGTACCCTACTCCGCCTCATTATTTCTATTTACAACCGCTTTTATTTACAATTTTATTATATACACGATTCTATTCTAAGGGTAAAAAAAAAAAAAAAATATTTTTTGTGGTAACAAATTCTGTACAACGTGTTAAAAACCTTATCCAATTCTCTTCCTAAAACCTCCGAAAAATTTTCCTTAATTTGGTCTTAACCCTACCTATTTCGATTTGTCTTATTCTGTCTTAAAACGCACTTGTTGTAATTTGACTTCAATTTCTATACCGTCCCAAGACTATTCGTCACTATCACAGTACTCTCCGTTAGTGTCCTAAGACCCTTGTACCAAGACCACTGTTCCAAGACTAGTGTCCCAAGACTACTGTCCCAAGACCAGTGTCCCAAGGCTAGTGTCCCAAGACTACTGTCCCAAGGCTAGTGTCCCAAGGCTAGTGTCCCAAGACTACTGTCCCAAGGGTAGTGTCCCAAGACCAGTGTCCCAAGACTACTGTCCCAAGACTAGTGTCCCAAGGCTAGTGTCCCAAGACTACTGTCCCAAGACTAGTGTCCCAAGGGTAGTGTCCCAAGACCAGTGTCCCAAGGCTGGTATCCCAAGACTAGTGTCCCAAGACTAGTGTCCCAAGGGCAGTGTCCCAAGACCAGTGTCCCAAGGCTGGTGTCCCAAGACTAGTGTCCCAAGACTAGTGTCCCAAGACCACTGTCCCAAGACTGTCCCAAGACCACTGTCCCAAGACCCTGTCCCAAGACCACTGTCCCAAGACCCCTGTCCCAAGACCCTGTCCCAAGACCACTGTCCCAAGACCACTGTCCCAAGACCCTGTCCCAAGACCACTGTCCCAAGACCACTGTCCCAAGAACCTGTCCCAAGACCACTGTCCCAAGACCACTGTCCCAAGACCCTGTCCCAAGACCACTGTCCCAAGACCCTGTCCCAAGACCACTGTCCCAAGACTGCTCTGTCCCAAGACTTCTTCGGTCTTGTCCCAATACTCGTCACGGAGTGTCTTCCTCGTTGTAGGGTCTTCTTGAACCACTGTACCTTGTACCACCACTCAAGCTCTAGTAAAATTTTCCCAAAAACCCTCTCTTAAAAGCCAAATGCTGACCCCCCTCTTCTTTTTGGTTGTTTCTATTTCAATGTAGGTGCGCAGGTATCTTGTGATCACCTGTTCGTATAAAACCAAACACAAATCCTCAATAAAATGCAACAAAAATTTTAAGTAAGAAAAATAATAAAAACAGAAAAATGAGCCCACCTAAAATTTAAAGGTGACCAATGTCTACCTTTCGTCTAAAAAAAAAAAAATTGTCTGGTACCTAATTGCCACGCGTTTTCCTCCCCCCACTAGTGATCTTATGGGGTATCACAAAAGCTGTCTATATCCGGTCCCCCCTACCAAACCAACCAGCGTACCAGTCTTAACTCGAGTTGAATTTTGGATCTCCACCTAATATTACCAACGCGTGTTAATTTCTAATGTAACTAAGTCAACGATGTCGACTAATTAGTTACTCTAATTTCCCCCTTTTTACAATTTACAACCGCCAACCTCTAACTTAACCAGTCCCCCTTCTAACCTCCCCCCTTTCTAGCCCCCCTTCTTAAGCCTAAAAATTACTTTAAGCGCCGGGTGCTAAACCTCTCAAGAGAAAACCGTAGACCTGTTTCCAGGCCTGCTCAAGTAAAAACGTTCCTCAAAACTGGGGGATTTCGCTTATCCAATTTTACACTTATCTCCTATAATGTAATGTGGATTCTAACGATACCCGTTCTGCCCAACTTGAGAACTCGAGAATTGCCAAATCCCTCTTGGCTGCTTTCCCACTCGACTGGTCACCTGTTCCAGTCCAGTCTCCTATTGGTTCAGCTAAGTGTCCCTGAACCACTTTCCCACTCGGCTGGTCACCTCCTCCAATCAAGTCTCCTATTGGTTCAGCTCAAGTGTCCCTGAACCACTTTCCCACTCGGCTGGTCACCTCTTCCAGTCAAGTCTCCTATTGGTCCAGCTAAGTTCCAAGCTATCTGAAAACCCTTGACAACGCCCCACTTCGGGCACTTTATTCAGTTTACTGGTTTAAATTGCTAGGTTGATCGAAACGATCGAACTTGTAAAACAGTATGGGTATACTATTTAATTAATATAAAGGTTTGATCCAACTAATCTGGTGTCAAAGTCACTGTCTTTTTTCGTTTTATGGTTTTTGTTCCTTTTTCTATTCTTTTTTGGTTTTTGTTTTGCTTTTTGTCTTTTTGCTCGTGTTTTTGTCCCCCTAGTTGCCCCCCTTTACTCGGTTAGCTAAGCCTCGTTCGGAGAGCGTACCAGGAAATTTTCTCGAGTTTTCTTAAAAAGCTATCACGGTACAACCGGAAGGTTTGCACGTTCCTGTCGAACCGTACCGCCGGTACTCTAGAATGGGCATTCAGCCCGAAGCTGTCTCAAGTGGGTTCGACTCCGTAGTCTTGATGTCGTAAACACCCAGGAGCGCCATAAAAACACTATGTAACATTCGTCTACTACAGTCACACATGAGGCTTAAGAAAAATAGGCCCTATAACTATTGGCTCGGGAGTCAGGGACACTATCTCTTGTGTTTTTCCGCCTCAAATCAGTCGGAGCCAATTCGGTTCGCTTGTGACATGAGACTCCGACCCGTTACAGCTTAAAGGCTACTACTAAAATATCCCCCCACTCTAGAATTAGAAACGTCCCCATACTTAGGTCTCTAGATACCCAAAATACATGAACGCCGTTAAAAACCGGGTCGGAACAATCCGTTAAGTTGCTTTTTTATTAGACAGTGGAACTTTGATCCATTTCAGATGGATCAACCTAAAACTCGCCTTACCTCAACATAACAATCATAAAACACACTCTAGAAATTTAAATTAAGGACTCACATGTTGATGCGCTCAAGCACAGGAAGTAATTAAATGGGTGAGCAACTCTAGAATTAACTAAAATAACTAGATAAGTTCAATGTTTATCAGTTTGAATGGTGAGGGTAAGTTTGAACTCAAGAACGAAGTTTTATGTGGACCATTGGGACACTCAAGCTGTCCACCTTTCCGTCGAAGGTTCACTCTGGTCCAGTTCGAATAATTACTCTCTCGGGAATACTCTGTCTTCTATTTCAGATAGGACAGCTCTACTCTTGTTCACTATGATGGAAATTGCAAATAGCAATTTCCCACTCGTTTTTATCTGACAACTTTCCCGCAATTGTTCTAAAATTGTTCTCTTTTCTTTTTCTGATTTTCAGTTCTCGCGAGAAAATCGTGCATGACATGTTCCATTCGAAATTTTAAAAATTTAAATTTCACTCCAAAATCAAGTGTTTTCTGCTCTTCTCAAGGTCAAACTTCCAAATATGACCGACTGGCACATTACGATGTAACTCACTATTTTTATCATTTCAAAAATATCGATCTCTCAAAAATGGTCACGTGTCTCTACAATCGTATTTTTAAAATTTCACATGTCAGTTAAACCGACCTCTCCGAATTCGTTCAGTTATCAAATAAGACCGTTAATCCTCTGAAACAGCCAATTCTCACTAAACTGCTCCCGCTATAATTTCGTTTTTTCCATGCATTTTGGACGCCAATCTGGTCGAATGTCACAGAAATTACTTCTGCAAAGTTTACTCGGAAGTCAACTTATGTTCCTAGGCTTTTCCTGTAACTGTGGACATGTTCCTGTAACTGTGGACATTGCAAACAGGTGCAGAAAGTCAGCTCAGCTGTCAAGTGATGGGTGCGAACCCTTGTGTAAAACACAGAAGCCTAAACTCTCTCTCTCTAACAGCCTCTTTGGACTGCCCTAGATTAATGAGAAAAAAATGATCGTGAATGTTTTTTCTTCAATGTTTGGATTTCTAGTTATTTATTTAGGTCGGTTTGAAATGAATGCCTAGCGAGCCGACTGATTTTTTTCATTTTTGTAGAAAATTAGCGACATAGCTCCTTAATTGATGTATCCCCAATCAGCTTGTGTTCTGCGCAGATTTTGGTTCAAGTTGACTTGTTTATTTAAGATGAGTTCTGAGGACGAAGAAGAACGAGCACCATGTGCGGACATGAACGACTCCAGGGGCAGCTCTATCTCTTCCACCATGAAAAACGACTACGATGAACTTATGAAGTTTGTGAATATAGTGCCTGAAAATATACTGGGTCCAGATCGAAGCAACGCACAGCAGCAGAAGTTCAGACGATGTTCGACAGGTTACTCGGGCTCTTTACTTATATGTCTTAGCCCGGATTTTACTTTTGATATTTGCTGATGAACTGGCATTTGATAGTAAAGAGCATTTAATTTTTGGCTGGAAAAAACATGATTACGGTACAGTTTTGATAGATGTGGCAATTATAAAAATTATATTCCTCCAATTTTGTATACAAAATCCTATACAGTCCTAGAACTACTCAGTATGTTCAACCCTGTTTTCCTTAATATGCATATCATTGTAACATTCGCCCGGAAGTACATATCGACGGAAAATAAAGCTAAGCTGTGAAACGACTGGCCAGCGTCTAAACAAAGCTCTACATGCTTTTCACCGTCTCTACCAAAGCCAATTCTTTTGGTGGTCTTCCTAACATCGGGTCGACAAAAACGTTACTGTTCTCCGGCTTCGACCAGAACGCTCAAATTAACTTAATTACATGCAAAAATAGTGAGCTCATGGCTGGGTCTCAGTATCCCCAGACCACGAGGTTACTCCTAAAAACAGGGCTACTACTATTTATTATATTACGATTGTTTTTGTTCAGTAGATAAAAATCATCATCTCCATCGAAGATGGATCAACCCTTTCCCCTCAACTCCTAGCTTCTCATTATCTGAAAATGAATCTGGATGTTAATTAAATTCAATTCAGGGCATGACCAGGAAGCTAAAAGCTCGTATAAAACAGTTTAAGTTCAAGTCGCGAGACCCCTCCGGATTCCTGAATCCGGGTAAATAGCACTCTTATTTCCTTTCCGGAAGGCTGGACTCTCTGTTCCACCACCCTTCACCGTTTGCGTGAATTGCTCTGTAACGATTGTAGCGACACAATCGTCACAACTCGGAGCTGTCTCTGATAATTCTCTGTTGTCTGTCTTGTTATTTATCGTCGTTATCTCTATCGCAACTATCGTTGTTGCGTTTTCTTTCTGATTTTCTTCTAAAATGGCCGTTTCGACGTTTCTCAGAAGTGTGACGTCACCATTCGAATTTATAAATTTAAAAATTCCAGAATCTTCTGACCTTCACGATTCGTCTAATCGTTCAAATAACGTTGCTAATCTTCTAAAACTGTCAACTCTCCAGGTCAACGGCTACCAATTTGAATTTGCATTTTTGTCCATTCTGGTCGAATGTCACACATCTAATGGAGTTTTCTTGTTTCAGAGCTCGAAGACAAGGAGAATAACCTGGAAAAAGGTATACATTTCAAATTTTTCATTTGTAATAAGATTTTTTGTTTTTTGGTCATAATTTTTAGTAAAAGAGCGTTCAGTTCGCGATGTACAGTACTTAAGCCTCTTCCTCTTGTAAAAGGACTAGAAAGCCTCCTATTTTAAAATCAGTGAATATTTTTTGAACCATAGAATCAGGAAATCTTGTTCATTTGAAATTCAGATGTTTTTATTATTTGGAATGCGATTTGTTCGATGTTATGTTGGTTTACGGGGTACTCAATTTGAAGTACGGTCCAGTTAGAAACTTAAATTAAAAGTATTGATCCCAAACCGCTGCCTGTTGTGCCATATTAAGACAAAATGGTTAAATTGAGACAAAATCTGCTTTTTTCGAATTGTTTATGCCTCTGAAAATTGTTTTCTTCGCCCACAAAAATAGGTGTTCTTTTTGTTATTTTGCTTTTTAAGCAAGGAATTTATTTTGGAGGGGTCAGAATTTATTTCTGATGCTGATCCACTGAAACTTAGGAAATTACTTTCTGTTTGCTATTTTTCAAACTTTTTGCATGCCTATTTTGTCCTGGTTGTTCTTTTAGTTTTGTATTCTCCATACTGAAATTTGTTAGTTTTTAAGTTGTTAGCTTTGATCATTGCACATATCGTAATCATTAATGTTTAATTTGTTTTTTTTTAAACGAGTCACCAATTTCGGAAATTCTGAGGCCTTTGTAATTTGCATTTTTTAATTCCAGCCATTGAAAGTGGGGAGCATTTTTGTATTCGGATGAGTTATAGTTTTCGCGAAAAATCAGATACAAAAAAAATCATCGGATTGGGCGAGTGGTATATCATATTAAAGCCATTACAGTCGTGATCCGAACCGCATTGAAAAATGTTAAGAAAATTTTCCCGTGTCGAGAAAAACCGGTTTGAAATTTTTGATTTTTCATCTTATTTCGAGCGAGCGAACAGTCTTATTTTAATTGCTTAAATTTAACCCAAGTAAAATTAGTTTTTGAAGTTTTGTAACGCCATTTGAAGAATCAGAAAATTACAGCAAAAATGTTTTGATTTTTTGTCCTGTTTTGTTATCTATTTTACTTAGTTTGCTATGGATTTCAAATATGCATAAGGTCTAGTTTTTTGTTTAGATTTTTTTTATTACACCACGCAGAAAAACTGACACTAATTTGAAAAAAAAATTGCTTCTAAAGACTATTGCCGGAACATTCTGTGCTACTTGGGCAGCAACTGATTACACTGTATGACTTGAAAACCTAGTTTTACTCGAATATTGTTAGTTTTTCGCGCCAAATCGGGAATCAAAAAATTTTAAAAATTCTGTAAAAGATTTTTGTTTCCCCTCTTTTTTTTCTACAAAAACTGTTGTCGAATTTGAATAATTTAGAATGACTGCCGAATATGCCTAGCTTCAAGTTTTCGTTCAGATCGTTTTATTACACCACGCAGAAAAAACTACACTAATTTAAAAAAAGTTTATTTTATGATTATGGTAGCTTTCATTTAATTTTCAAACTTAACGTTCCCGGTAATTCCGTCACATAGCCCAAAGATAGTTCCTGATTTGCCGGTTTCGATACCAATTGTGTCGGCTTAGTTGCCTCTTTTTTTAAAATTAAAAACTGTAAAATTAAAAGATTTTTACGACTGGTTTGGAGCTTATCAACTTTTCAAATTGTAATTTTTTGAAGGCATAAAATATTATTTCGGAAAACAATATACGCAAAGTTATTTTTGAAATAAAATTTGCTGGCCTATTTACTTGCTGGTTTGTTAATATTTTAACTACACTTCTTTATGCAGCTGTATTGCAGTCTGATTGAATTGAATCGATTCATCTTTATAATTGTTTTTAGGTTCAATTTATCTCAAACAATCCTGAAAGTTTCATTTTGTAATTAAGAATAATAAACGTATATAGGTCTTGGTGATTTTTTCTTTTTTTTTCAGGAAAAAGTCCTAAAATTTTTTCACGCTTAATTTTGATTTTCCGTGTTTTGGCTTGTGATTTCTTTTTAAGTTTAGTGCATTTCCATTGATAAAAGGAAGGCAAACTCCACTATCGAACAGCAAACGTGTAAAGACCACGAAAAACGTGACTGACTTTAGTTTCGAAAGTGGAACTTAATAATCAGATTTCCCAGCGAAATAAAATCTCTGCGTATTGATTTACTTTTCGCAAGTTAGGTTAGTTTAATGAAAAATTGTCAAATAGAAATTGTTCTAGAAGAGTTTTGAGGGCATCTATTTTTCTCTTCGAAATCCGAAGGCTGAGATTTTCTTAAAAACAAGTCAGTTTTTTCGGTTTTTTAGGTTCATTTCTCTTTTCCAATTTTCATTTGGCTTTGTTTTTATTTTTTCTTCTTTTAAAACCGGTTTTTTGTCTTAGCAACTTATCAATTGAGTTAATATCTTGTAAAAACTGATAGTTTTTTTGTTGAAACCTAAAACTTTGAAGCCTGAATTAGGCGTTTTTGATGTTTCATTGTTTTTTTTGAACTTTTACAGAAATTTGACTTGAAAGAATAAACTCACTTTGGAAGACTGAAAAGATTTTTTTTTACCTTCGCGATAAGCAAGGGTCTTGCAATCGGGTACTTTTTTGCGTATATAACTTTGTTTACAAGACTATTTTGGATTCGTCTCTAGTGGTATCTTGTTTCAAGACATATTCAAATTTCTTAGCGTTCTGGGCTTTCTAGCTGTATCGCAAACCCACATAATCTGGAGGTAACGAATACGTCTGGGACGGTAAAGAATCTGGGTTCGAATCTCACCAGGAGCTGTTTGTTTTTTCAAACGGGAAATTTTCTGTTCCAAATAAAATTTTCGGCAAATTATTTGTCAGCTGATCTTTTGTCGGCTTAGTTGCCACACCTTGGATTTTATTTTTTCCTTCCTAATAGTGTTCGGCTTGTTTTATATCGTCTTAGTAGCCTCTTTTTTGCGTCGTTTGATGCGTGAAAAGAGTTTTTGTGTGCCTATGTGTGTTATGAGGGAACGAGGGCTGTTAAAGTTTTCAATAAGTTTTGAAGTAAAAAAATCGCCCTGAAGAGTTTTCGCTCAGGAGCTTTTGGCCTCGTCAACGCTTGTTTAATGTTGTTCCGATGCTGGTTCTGCATTTTATTGTTTGGGCCTTTTTTCACCACTATATTCTTTCATTTTGATAGATCTAGCTGTATCGCAAGTCGTGCGAAGCTCAGCTTTGCCTCTTAGTAAAATTTCCGGCGGAGTGAAAAATCTGTTGATTCAATTTTCTTAAATTAGGGACATTTTTATCGGAAATTTTAATGATGAAAGATTTTCAAAAATTAATACTTTTCCAACTGTCTGTTGGCTATCTTTTCAAGTCAAGTGCAAATCAAGGCTTAAAATTGTTTTCACGTTAAGAATATCATTCGGCCTGCCTCTGTGTGTAAACAGCAAATTGTACAAAATCAGAGTTGGTAAATTTACAAATTACAGAACTATTTTCAATTATACTAAAAGTTGCTAAAATCAGAAGAGAAAACCATGCTTTAGAAAGCAGAAAAACTATAGTCTGAAATACTAATTTTCGCTGTTAAAATTTTCCAATTTCCATACATCAGAAACAAACAAGGTCGAGCAGGGACTCAAGCGACAGGACTTAGAAAGCACAAGCTTAGTCCAAGTGAGAAAAGGCATAGAAGTTATCGAGGTGGCACAATAAAGCAAAATCAGTTTCTTACAGATTTCAAAGAAACAAGTGAAATTAACTGCCGGTTTTTAGGCTTGATAAATGTTCCTGAGTACTTGTTTCACCTGATTGATTGTGTTGCTGGACGTTATTTCCTCAAATTGAAGATCATTCGAGACAACATGCTAAAATTTTTCTAATGTTTTACTTAGTGGCTTTCGTTTTTTGTCAGCTTACTTGCAATGCTAAGTTTTCGCGTCATTGCAACTGGTGCGAAGCTCCTCGTCTCAGTGTATAAAATATCACTGGGCCGCATTGGTTGTTTCGCTACTTTTTTTTTGAAAGGAGGAAGAATAAACATCAAACTTATACAAAAGTCCGTTAAGCTTCGTGTTTTTCCAAACAAAACTCTTCTCTTTATTCGGTATCATTTCCCAACTAGATGTGTGTTGTTTTTTGTTGTAGAGAACAGCTCTGTCGAAAACTGGTTGAATGATGTCGAGAGAATTGATCGATCGAGTAAACGAAGCAACAACAACATACATTTAGCGGGAGACGCAATGCTAGCTCATGATCGCAATATGAACTGTGAGTCTCGTCATACAGATGTAGTGTTCACTCTGCATCGCAAAAATAAACTAAGAGGTGACGACAGCACATCTTCGAATGGTCGAAGAACAGCCCAGTCGTATCAGCATACGCGAAGTAACAATGGAGACACCTCTTCCAAGTGCCTGGAACTATCTCTAGATAAATGGTGCCTAGATATGAAGAGTATGGTTATGGTGAGTGGGGCGAAATCTGTTACAAATCATTTATGTGATGTCAGTTTTCGACCAATGAAAAGCAACATACCAAAATCATCGAGAAAAAAGTTTTTTTTTAGGAAAATTTCTCGACGTGGAGAATGTCATTATTAGAGCAGCAAAAAACGGAGCATGAACAAACTAAAAAAAGGTGAGAAATTACACTAACAATTTTTAGTAAGCAGCTTTGTAGAGGTAGATAAGGGTCCATACAATTATGTGTGAGCATGCCTCCACCCAACTTGTCGTGTGGTATTTGATCGCTTAGTTTTAAAGCCTAGTTCTTTCTCATTTTTAAGAATTTAACCGTAACAATATAAGCTTCTATAAATGTTTGATTTCGTTTCAGGTTCAGAAGTGAAAACGAAAAGTATCTGGATGAAATAGATACTTTAAAAGACCAAGTTCTTTTGTTGCGAGAAGATATCGCGGAGAAAGACCGTACAATTGAAGGCCTCCAAACAGTTGTGAATAAACAGTCAGAACTCCTCTCCAAGTCGAAAATAATGTTTAAATGGAAGAATGAAATGGAAGCGGCGCAAAGAGAGGTTAGTTTTCTTTATAAACTAAAAAAATGAGCTCATTCAGGCGCAGATCTAAGAATTTCTCGAGGGGGGCGGATTTTTAAAAAAAATTTGAAAATTTTTTTCATCCTTTTAGCCACTTTTTGGAAAATTTCGACCAAAAAATCTCGTTTTTTTTCGGCGCGCGTTCCCCCCTCAAAATTAGCATAGATTGGCGTCGAATGCGCCTTTAGAAAATATTTAAGGTCAGTCTGCCAAAAATGGATATCTGAAAATAGTTCAAAAGGGACCCTTTCGGTCGGCAGGGGGTCAAATCCCTGAAGGGGCGTCCGATCTCCGCCCCCCCCCCCTAAATCCGCTACTAAGCTCATATGAAGGTTTCCATAGATTCAAGTATTAAAAGGCGATGAACGTAGTTCATACTCTTATATAGGTCGCGATTATTTTTTTTTTCAGGAGAAGTCTTCAAAATTTGTTCAGGCTCAATTTTACTTTTTCGCGGTTTGACTTCTGATTTCTTTCCGAATTTTTTGTTGATTTTTTCGTTTTTCTATGTTTCTACAGAAATTTTTGGTCAATTTGCTTAATTACTATAACTGTAGAATATACCTAATTTCTATTTTTTCGTTCAGATCTTGTCACAGAAAAAATGACACTAATTTAAAAAAAAATGGTATTTTTTAAGACTATGGTCGGAACGACAGTAGCCGGCTATCCTTGTTTTTTTTCTGAAATTGACTGAACGTTAAACTGATTTGATTATTTTTTTTACTTTCGCGATTAAAATGGTAGATATTAGAGGTCATTTCCAGTTTGATGTTGTTTATGTTTCAGCAAATGTGTATGAAAATGGCAGAGCTGTACCACAATAGGAAACTGATAGGGAAATATTGGGCCAACTGGCACTGCCTGATTGAGAACAAGTGGAGAGAGCGGGTGGAAAAGGCGTGTCAACTAAGAGCACAGGAGATATGTCACCAATTGGAAGAGAAATACCAACATCAAATGGAGGAGGTGAGAAAAAAGGGGTCAATGTTAAAACGTTTCCGTCCAATAGAAGTCATAGGTGAAACCTTTAAAACAAGATTCAGTTGCAAAAGGTGCCAAGTTTAATGTAATAGAAGATGTTTTTCAAGAAGTAGTGTATCAATCAATCATGTACCTACCATTTTTGTATTGACTAACTTATAATTAGATTGACTAACCCAGCTAGAATGTAATCAATAGCACTTGAAATTCTGCTTCAATTTTCTGAGAATTTTTTTGAGGTAAACATACTTGACATCAGTTTTATCCGGTTTTTGTGCTGCTTGGCTCAATTGTATCCATTTTTTGCCAGGTATGGTCCAATCCTAATGAATTAATATTGAAATTATTTCAAAATAATATGAGCTGAGTTTGAGTTATTTGATTTTGTGAAGCCTGTTCAATTTGTAGATGCAAAAAGGCTTGGAAGAGTCTAGACTTCAGATTGAGGCGATGCAAGATGAGAAGCAGCAGTACGAGGAAAACATGCGCCAGGCGTTCCTAAGAGGCCTCTCTGCTCTGAATCAGGAAGCTCACACCATATTTCACACTCCACGTTCGCAGCAACCATCCGTCGCTTCTTCGTCAATCCAGAACATCAACTATGCCTCAGTTAACTCAGCTAACAACGCCAATAGCAGTCAAAATAGTTCAAGTGTGTCTGCAAGTAACTTGTTGCACACGCGGTCTGTGGATAACACGCCTTCTCTTGGTAAGAAGCATTGACATTATTTGTCCTATTTCGAGTAATAAGTTAAAGAAATGACTACCATAGTTGTGGCAAAAATGTGTGTTTTAACGCAAATTAAATCGTAATTATAAGTCTAAAGAGTATATAATTCTAGAGAACATGTTTGGTGCCTGAACAAAATTAGTTCACATGATTGATCACTACTATTTGATGGTTAAGATGAATAGAGTGGCAATCAAAATTCGCAAACTTGAATGGCTGTTTACCGGAAGTACTGCCGGGCCTAAAGGGTTGGTTTCTTGCCTGTTTGTTACTTCCTGTCATAAGTGCGGTTGACATATATTTCGGAGTATTTGGAAGTTTTAATAATTTTATTAGGGAACACTGCAATTTGAGGGACCAATCAAGTAAACTAACACCTCTTTGTTTAGTGCTGATTTTGAAAGGTATTTTTCTTTTCAGCTTGGCAAAAGACCCGACCGCTGGGTTTGTTTCTTTCTAGTTTTTCTTATTAAACCGTTTTTTCCAAGAACTCCGAATTAACACTTTGGGTATCTGGAAATGATAAATGATATTTTTTTTGCTTCGAACTTTCTATTTTTCTTCAGGAATTGAACCCTTCAATAATTCTTTTGGCCTCATGGAAGCTGTGGGATCCCTAGTTGATATGACCCCTACTTTAGCCGTGACCTCATCGTCATCAGGACTGACACATTTCACTCATCAAAGTACTGCTGCAAATCATCAACAACAGGTATTTTTGGGATTCTCGACGTACCCAACATCTACTTTCGTTTCGTAAAATTAAAATAAACTCAAGAAATTCATTTTTATAGCAGCAGACTGGTCCGCAATACTTCAGCAGCAACGGTGTGGCAGTGTCCAATCAGAAATATCAGATGCACAACAGCATTTTCAATCATCCATCAACCTCTCCCCCCTCGTCAGCACCCATCATGACGACATCATCGCGCTCTGTGAAGCAACCGCAACATCAGCAGCAATCAGTCGCCCCTCCCCCGTATCAACCTGCAATTCCAGGCCCGCCTCACGTCGCCACGGCTACACCCAGAACACTGGTCTGTTGAATATATTGACTTAGAGTAACGTTTTTTGCTTGTCCTCCAAGAAACACAAATTGTATAATGATTGAAGATTCATAATAGCCCAGCACCGATTATTAACAAAAATATAGCTCCGAACTATTTGATGTAGCTGATTTTGGTGATATTTTGTGTTTTGGGGTCTATGGTTTACGGCGGTTATAATACGATTGGTGCAGTTATGAGCTTAACAATTATGAACGCCAAAATCGTGCTGCAGATTTTTAATGCAAACCAAAATATTTTTTATCCCTCTCCTAGCACAGGAGCGGCGGCGAAAAAGTATAAGCAGTTTTCGTTTGAATCTAAAAATTGTTTGCAGGAAAATGGAGGTGTTCCTAATGTGAACAAAGTGACCTCGAACTCGACTTCCAATGTGACATCGGCAGTTGGAGGATCCATAGCCAGGCGAAGCAGAAGAACTGCAATAGTAGAGAGACACTCTCAGTCTCAGCTGAATCCATCATCCAACCAATCCAATGTAAGTTCATAATTGATTCTAAGCAAGGCTGCTTCTGTATTTAAGAAATATCTTTATTAAGAGTAATGAACGTAGTGAAGACTCTTATATAGGTCTTGCTGATTTTTTTTTCATGAAAAAGTCTTAAAATATTGATGCACTGAGGATTATATGCACTTTTTGAGTACAATTGAATTCATTTGCTGGAAGTGACGTAAATAGCACTCTCCAAATACGAACGTGCAAATGGCGCAAAATTCGTGAACGATTTCTAGTTTCAAAATTGGAATTTAGTTTTTAGATTTCCAGCGGAATAAAAACTTTGTCTGTTGATCCAGTTTTCTCAAATTGGGTTAATTTTACAAAAAAGTGTCTATCATAGATTGTTCTACTTATCAGATATCTGGTAATTACTTATCAGATTTCCCAGCGAAATAAAAGATGCACATTTTAATCCAGTTTTCTCAAATTAGGCTAATTTTACAAAAAATTGTCTATCATAGATGGTTTTTTAAAGCCATATATTGATTTCCTCGAAATTCAAAAGATGAAGATTTTCGAAAAAAGAAGTCAATGTTTTCAGGTTCATTGCGTTCATTACTCTTTTCCAACTGTCAGTTGGCTATGTTTTAAGCTAGTAAGCGTTAGTCTATTAGTACGAACCTTTTTTTCTAAACTTTTTCGCAAACAAAGGTTTTAATTAAAAGTGTTCACGTATTTGGTGGCAGTTTTGCTATAATCACGATCTGTAGCATTGGAAATTTCGTAACATCTGTTCTCTGCTTATTTTGTGGCTAGTGTTTGCGATTTATTAAGCGTCCGTGGCTGAGTGGTCAGTGCGTGAGACTCAGAATATCTAGGTCGCATCTTCGCGTTTGTGTTTTGAAATGCTTTTGTGTGTTTCAGGAGGGATGTATCGTAAAGCAATTGAATTTTTTCATCTTGAATTTTTCTTGGTGTTTGATTCGTTTTCTACTTAACCAGAGTCGAACTAATTGTCCTTGCCCTTCGGCTATTGCTTATCAATGATTGTTGAGACTGTTTTTAAACATCTTCCGAGACAAAGTCATAAAACTTTCGTAGATGTAGTTTTTTGTAATTTTTTCAATGATCGACTTTCCTTTGAATATTTTGTGATACCATGTTTTAATTTTTTTGCAAGTGATGCGAGGCTCCGCTTCTTCTCTTTGTCACACTTGCGCGAGCAATTGTCTTGTTGTTGTGAACTAGATTTTTTTTCACGTGAACAACTTTTCTAACAAACCTTCCTTGATTTTTTCTTGCTATTATTGTTTTTTACAGCTTCCAGACTCGTTCCGACTTGGCCTTGAGGTGACATGGTTGCCTTCGCCGCTTAAACTCTGGAGTTCGAGTTCTGGTTGGGCGTAATTTTTTTTCAGTTATCAATGGAATTGAATTTTTTCCGGTAAAATTTGAGATGTCGGATTTTCGTTCGTCTTGTCGGCTCATTTGCCTCAACACGGATATTTTTTTGTTTTAAGCTATTTTCATTATTGTTGCACGTGTTGTTCATTGCAGTTTCAGGTAAAAAAATTTACAATATTTTTTTTCGGCCTAACTGATGTCTGCTCTAAGGTTGTTGGCTTAGTTTCCGAATCGGAAGTTTTATTCCGTTGCTAATTTAATATTCAATTGTTTTGCTTGGCTTGTTTGCCCTGAATGCTTTTTTATGGAGACATACGAAAATTCTGGTAGACCTAGTTTTGTTTGGTAGACCTTGCCATGTTTTTTTATTTATGTTGTATGTGTAAAAAAAAATTGAAAAAAATCCTATCTTGGAAGAACAATAAAAATCTAAAATGTGCCCTCCGGAAAACAGATGTGATTCTTTAGGGGATGAAAAGCCAGTTTGCTCCCAATTTACCGGCAGTCAAAGTCAAACAGGCGTTCCGATGAGCTTTGATTGACACGCAGCAAGGTTGGATATTTACGAAGGAAAAGACCAAATTCTCTTGATTAATGAGATTGATGAATACTGGGAAATAGTATTGAGAAACTAAATTTATCGCGCGTGTTGTTTGGACAGGAATAACTGAAATGACTGCAATATAAATTTCGATACTTAATAGTTGAATACATTCGTTGTTGAAGCTTTGATATGCTAATTCAATTAAGTGCCTTTATAAAGTGCCTTAATTTGGTCGTTTTAATTAGATTACTTGTTTGTAAGATGATCTTAAATCATTATTTGTTCGTCAAATTTTGTTTTCACAGTTTGTGAGAATTTGTTTTATTACTATTTGATTACTTGCCAATGTGTAAATAGCTTTGTTGATTCAAAATTGTGTATAAATTTATTTTTGATGCTAATGTTTCATTTAAGATAGTGAGTTGAAAACTAAGCTATGAAACGGCGGCGGCCAGCATGATGGAGGCACCGAAGGTTGAAATTTTTTTGAATTACTTTCAGCCAAACAGAATTGCGTATTCAAAAATCTCAGACAAATAGTGAAAAAAGCAAATAAATCCAAGCCATTAACATATCTAATGACCGATTAAAAAATAAACAAACATGAAATTTCGAAATCGAAATTCGGATGCAAATAATTCATTTTCGGTTAATATTGACTTGGGTTTTGTGCAAAAGTCATTAAGCCAAAAGGAACTTCTAGCAATTCTGATTGGTTAAAAATAATGAACATACCTCACCCCTGTGAAACGACTAAAACAAAAGGACAAAACTCCAAATCGATGACGTTCTGGCTTATTGTAATAATGTCATTAAAAAATTCACTTAATTTTGTCTTGGAGCAAAAAAAGTTCTTAATTATTTCGCCGAAATTTTGCAACTTGTGGTATTCAACGCATAAATGCCGAGAAAAATACACTGTTTGCACTGATTCGTAGTGCCATCTTTTTGATTGCTAACAAGGCCGATTTTTGAGAAGCTGTTTTGTTTACATATTTGTCCTAGTGCTTTTTCTGGTCTGGGTAAAACTCTGCAGGTTATTTGAAACAAAGTTGAATAATTTTCCGGATACTTAATATTTTTGGTTAATTTGATTTATATATACAATTCTGAACAAAGCATTTTTACATGGTGCGGAAATTTGATTGGCTATTTCTAGCCGATCAAAATGAAGCAAAATAGTTTCATTTCAAGATTTTGAGTTTGGCGGAATAAATGAAACGACCACGAACAAAACAAGCTAATTGAAATGCGCCTTTCTACCTGAAAAAAGTCCTTGTGTCAGCTGGTTAGGTCATTCCAAGCATTGTATAAAAGCATTAAATCAAATTAACGCAAAAGTTATAAATTAAAAGAGTTTACGACTTGGGACTTTTATATAAGTTAGTTGGTTACGATTTTTGTTTTGTATTCTGATTAAATCACATTGTTCAATTTGTACTCTGAGCTCTTTTTGGTGAAATATCGAGGGTGTTGGAGTTTGATCAATTGAATTAAAATGTTCTACCATGAAGCAGTGACAGCAATTTACTAAAAAAATTTATTGATAATCAAGTGTTTTTATGTCTGCTAAAAGCCAACATTTTGAGCCGGTTATATTTCGAGGGGTTTTTGCTTATGTTAATTTAGTATTGTTTTCATTTTTTTCTACTCTCAGTTGTTTCGAAAGTTTTCATTTTAATTTTGCAATCTATCCAGAAGAAAGCTATCAATAGTGCCTTCTCGAAGTTTTTACGCTTGCGATTAAACCGAAATATATAACTTTTTGGATAAACCACTAGTTCAACAGAATCACTTAGATCGTTTTACCTTTGGCTCAAATGAAATGAAAAGTTGGACTTAAATCGAGTGTGTACCAAAAAGCTAACGTACCTGCCAACAAGACAAAGGTCAATGATTCGAATCCGGTCAGGACCTTTTTTTGTTGTAAGCTTTTTGCCTGACTTCTGTTTGTCTGTTTTTTTAGTCCTTTCGGTGCCGCGGCTTTGAATTTGTCTAAAATTTAGGCTTTTTTAAACTCAAAATATAAACATTTCAGTGTATTCTGGTTTTGGGCAAGCAATTGAGTTCCTATGGTTTTGTCTTTGTTTTTTGCAAGTCCAAATTTTTTTAAAAGCTGTTCATTAAAAATAATTGGAAGTTAATTTCTTTATAAATTCAAGGAGTGTTCTCTGCATTTGGTGTAGTACTAACACGCATGCTGGAGACGGCATATCACAAGTTCAATTTCAGTCGAGGACCTGTTTCTCATGAAACTAAAAAATTATCGAATTTGTTAGATTTTCGTGTCAGTCGACTTAATTCCCAGAGCAAGGTTCGGTTTACTTTGAGCATTTCAAATGCTCTTTGTTAAGTTTTTTCAAATGCTCTTTGTTCTAATGGTGCACGTAATTTTGTTCCGGGAATTTTATCCGTTTTATACAACTTTTGTAATTTGTGACAAAAAAACGATTTTTTGAAAGTTTTTTTTTCAACTTTTGATGATAATCATAGTTTTTTTTGTATCGCAAAGGATGCGAAGCTCCACTTTGCCTCTGTGTTGAAACTTTGTTTCTCTCATTGCTATAAACTGGTAAAAATATGAAATTATGCTAGTAAGTTTTCCAGGGAGTGGACTTCTTCGCGAACAAGCAGAGTAATATATCATGCGATGTGCAACATTATCAGCGAGAGATCAGAATTGTTCAGTGTAGCAAGTTTTCCAAGCTCGAATGTTCACGCCATTGAAAAATTTACTTCAGATGGTGGAACCTGGCATTTTCGGACCCGGAATAATCCGGTAAACCGAATTTTGATATTCTTGCAGAGCATAGCTGGGATCATTTGCTCTCGTTCAATTTAATTTTTTTGTTCAAAATAGTCTTTAAAAGTAGGTTCTCGGAAATGTTGGAATTGAATTTGTTTTAATAAAATTAGTCCCGCACTTAATTAAGCAAAACAAAAATTAGAGCTTAATTCTTCGGAATATTTTTAGCCGATGGTTTTTCAACAAAGTTTCAGCCATTTTTTTTTTCACTTTCTTTGCATAAAAAGCGATGAGTGGAAATTTGTTAATAAATGAATCAAAGCCATGATCCGAAATAATTCGCCTGGCCAGAAATAATTTTGAGAAAATGGCTCTTAAACAGCTTTTTTTCTGAAGTCCGGTATATATTTTTGAAACGTAAGTAGTGCGAAGCTCCGCTTCACTTCTATGTGAAGTTACTATTATTTTTATGAGGTGTTTCATTTCGCGTTGTTGAAATACACTGAAATTAACGAAAATGCATTCTTAGAATTTAGCTGGAAGATGATTAGTGCTAAAATAAAGTTGAATGCTGCTTAAAGTTTTTGCCTACGAATACTAAGTACGCCAAAAAATGTAATTTTTGCTTGTGATTAGTAACTACGCCACAAACCTACTTAAAGTATTCACATTTTGGATCTTCAACTGAAATCATTGCATGTCATATGTCAAAAAGTTATGATTAAAAATGTCAAATCAATTGAAAAGGTTCCTGCTTTTTAGCTTGACATTTAAAGTACTTTTCATCCAAGTAGCAGATCGGTTGAGTAGCTTGCTATACTACAATTAAAGAATTAGTCTTTTGTGTAGAACTCGAAAAAGCTTTCGAAAAATTGGTAACTTTATGCATCATTGATTCGAAAACAGTACAAAATTAATAAACTACTTCTGAATTGAGAAAGTGGAACCAAGCATTCAGAGAAGAAACCAGTGTCTTTGTCAATGTGTACTAACCTTGTCTAAAAGCTTTTTCTTTTTAGTTTTTGCTTTTTGTAAAACTTATTTACCAACTTTTGTTAGAAAATTTTTTCTTAAATCCAGTTTCCTGTTTAGCTGTTTCAGTAAATTTTTGTTTTCTGAGACGCGTGTGGTGTTGTGTTTTTAAGTCCGTAAACGATCCAAATTCGATGTTTTTGGCCATAAATTAACTATATCATTATGCTTGGATCTGAAACTTTTAAAAATTAATCCGGTTCAAAAGAAGAGCTGAAAATTAGCCTTGAAGAAGTTTTCTCATTTTATGTTAATATTCTATTTTACGGGCCGTAAAAACAAAAAAAAAACAGTTTTTTTTTAAAATAGTTATTCCCATTAAAATATTTAACTACCCTTATTTCTTTGATTTTCTTTTTAAACCCAGCACACAATGGAAAACGAGAGCTATAGTTCTCCCTTTGTGGTTGACGCCCTTGGAGTTTTGTTCTACATATCTGCTTTTGTGGCTCTAGTGTCCAACGGTCTGATCGGAGCAGTGCTATTGAAACTGGGCATCAAAAGAGCTTCTCTGTGTTGTTTGCTGATCGTCACCATCACGGACTCTATCACAATTTTAATTACAACAGTGTGAGTTTGTCTAAGTTTCTTCGAATATAAATTTACCAGCTTTAAAATTCAAGTTTTTAAATTTATTTCTCTAACGAGCATTTATGCTGCAAAGGTTTTTTTGGTCTGTGAGCGCGTTTTAGTTAAGTTTTGGTATGCCGTTTCCAAGTATCCATGCTTGGGTGCAATCAGGGCTCTAGGATTTTCTCGAAGGTTCACCTGGTCTTAGGTCGTCCTAGCTTATTTTTCGAGCTCAATTTAAAACGGTATAAATATTCTATTTTGAAACTTTTTCGAAAAAATTTTGGCGCGTGACTCCTTTTCAATTTTAGTGTATACTGGCGCCAACGGTATCAGGGGGGTCGAGTTTCTGAGTGGTGAGGCAGATTCCCTCCTGTAAATCCGCTACTGCTTGGGGGAAAATTACAATAAATATTTATCAAAAAGGAAATTTTAATTTTTTTTTTGCGAAATCAGTCAATTATCTATTTGGTTCATTTTTTCAACATTTTTGTTTCGTTTAGGTCCACGTTTTACATTACTAGCAGAGTTTGCACATAGCTAGCCAATTTTTCTTCATTGTAGGACATCCAGTAATATTTCTCTGGGGTAAGAAATCATGGTCTGAGCCAAGACTCCTCCAATTGGTCCTCCATTTTAATTGGTTACAAATTGACATATTGTTTTTACCCTTGCGATAAGCAAAAAATTTTCAATTGGGTACTAGACTTATTTTCCCGTAAATAATTCTGTTCACAGAATGGTCCATTTAGTATGAATGGTAAATTTCACCAATGCTGACATGCTCAGTTTCTAGAAATCAAAAAAAAACTACCATCATTTAGGCAGTAGTTAAGGGAAGTGTGTTTCAGTTATTAGCTTTTTTTTTCAAATGATTTTCTTGATTTTTTTTGTATTCGTGGTTTTTATCCTAAATTACATCGGCTCATTTTCCTTTTTTAAAATGCACTTTGCGTTATCTGATACGTTTTTTGGGCTTAGTTTCCAAAGCATAGGTTTTTTATTGATTTAAGCAGTTTTTACTATTATTGAAAATTCTGTAAATTGCAGTTTT